AAAATTCACTGAAATTTACTAGCCTCATTTTTGTCAAGCACTCCTCTGGACACTGCAAGTGTTATCCTGACTCTGAGTTCCCAGAATAATTGCTTCAGACAGTTCTTGCCAGATCAGTAGTTGTTCTGGTAGAGAACCGCACTGTTCTCAACTTCCCAAGCAAGTAGTAGTCTTAGAAATATCTTTTATACATGTGTCTTTAAACCCTGTTTTACATGCATTACAGTGTGGTGACCACATTCATTCACTGAAATGACACTGAAGAACACTTTTTTTTCCCAAACACAATCTTATATGGAAGCTCATTATAACAGTAAAACAGATAACATAGTGACTCAAAGTGCAAGCCTGGGTACTAGAAAGAGGAATATACCCCTTAGCCTTTTCTGGCACCATGTTCCTCCTACCTCAATCAGATTAAACACTACTCTAAAGCAGTGTTTCTCAAACTTCCTTTTATCTTCATCTTCCCTTTCACTGATCACTTTCAAATCAAAAAAATACTGGCTGATAAAGACTAGTGAGAAGCAATAAAAACAAGTTACATTGTGCTCATTGCTAATACCATGTATGAATTACCTGTTAGTTACTTTTATAAGAGAACAACATGAGCTTAAACCCATGATGCTCTATGATAAAATTATGTTCAATAAGGTTAACACTAATTTTTGTTTTGCCTTCTGTAATATGATGCAAGTTATTTGAATAGCATAAATTAATGAGCAGCACACTACCAGTGAAATGTCATTGAATGGAGAAATCATATTTGGATCTGCTTCAGCCATTGGTTTGTGAATATTTCATATTTGAATCACAATGCATCATCTTGAAAATAATAAGCCAAAATTATTATTGATGCAGTTCTGTATCCTTGATAATCCAGTAGCATCACACATCACCCATAGCAAACCAGACTGATAATGATGACATGAAACTAGCAGTAACTAGTAATTAAAAGGCAAGAATCTCAGTAGCTTGAAAATCAAAGCATATTCAAGACTCCATTGATAATGTACTGGTGACAAGGCATTGTTTTCCCAAATTGCAGAAATTCCAAAGCTCAGTTAGGCGTTTTGTAATGTTCCTGAGCTTTATGCAACAGCTAAACTTCTTAGTAAACTTAATTAGAGCTCTCAGTAAACACAACTAACTCTCAAATTTAAGGATACTAATTAATAATTCCAGTTAACTTCCTTGATCTATAAGGTGACTTAGTCTTTACTTATATGTTAAATAACTTGCTGTCATTTGAAGGACTCAAAAGGAGAGATTGCATTTCAGGGTCATCTTAAAGGCTTGAAGAGCCCTTCTTTGGCCCACTCTGAGAATCACCACCCTACAGAATGACTAAGGAAATTCTCTTATTTAGTTATAACCATTGCTTTGAGCCACAAAGCCAGGGGGTTTAACTGGCCCATCAGGGGCTTGGGCAGCCCATAGTTCAGCCTCTATTACCAGTTAGAATTGACCTCAATTTCAGCTCCCTTGCTGCTTGTCTCAGGCAGATTAAGGTCAGCCAACTAAAGAAGTGACTGAATCACTTTACCTCTCAGCCCTTCAAAAATTAGCTGGATGATTTCAGAGACTGCATCTAGCTCCATATTCAGTGATTTTCCTAATCTTGGGGCTGCATTGGTATCACAGACACCCTGTGAATAGGTATTGTTTTCTAGTCATTCAAGGGTATCATGCTGTTGGCTCTGAGAAGAGTGTTAATCATTAATCACAGTGACGATGCTCCTGAATGATATTAGTACTTATTGGTTTCAAGTAAAAATGATAATAAATCTTATGCTCTCTTCCAGTTTTATTGTTACTACTAGTTTCCATTAAGACTGAGTCATCTCTAGTGTAGGAGGGTGGCTGGTCAGTGACTGTATTTCAGGGGCATCACTCCCATTTTCCTCTATAGGATGGGACTCAGCCATCCTGTGCTAAAAGTTAAAGAAGATGTTGGCTTTATCCAAAAAGAGCAACACCCGGGGAGTGAAAATAACCCCCTCATCTACAGGAGACAGGAATGGAATACCTATGCAGGGAGTCCCTCTGCTCCTGTGTAGAGAATAGTGATTTTCTTATCTTGCCTAAGAAAGTGGGCATCAGAGAATAAACTTTTAATACCATATTAGAGATTTGTTTTGGTGCTCTTTATTCTGACCCAATTGTGGACATCAATGGATCTCTCCTGAGGTTGCATTTATTTTTTTCTGTCCAAATTGGTGCTTGCTTTATGTCCATTATACAGCAGAGATAGGAGTATAAGAAGCTCCTTTTACAAAGATAGCCGTTATCACTTTAATAGAGTGATACCCCTCTTGGGGGCATTATAGCAAGGCTCTAGCATGCCACTGTGTCAAATGGCCAAATCTCATAGTACTACTTGGTTCAAACAAGTAAACTTTGCCACTTTTTCTTTCCCAAGACTTGGCTGTGTTTCACAGGTGGAAAGGTGCATCAACTCAAAGACTGCAGTCTCCCTTTTCAACCCTAAAGATCTCAATACATCAAAGAAGTGGGGAAAATGTGTTTAAACCCTTACTGAAAATTGTGGTTAAAACAACAACAGTAATTGTACACCTTCAAGGTCGTTGCTCCAACATTGAGGACACAAGATTGACTAAACCAATCCAGAGGGGGAGCTGACTGTAAATTGGTTGTGTCAGATGAAGACTGGATTCTCTAAATGCATCTCAATCTCAAGGCATATTTAAGTGCCACACTTTGTGGGAATTCGCAGAACACGGCATATTTAAAAATAAATTTTCATACTATGAATTAATCAGAAGACTTTTTGTTATCTTAAGAAAAAGTATTAAAAAGGAATCATCTAATTAAATGTTTCCTTGTGTTTTAAGAGCTTTCTTTGCTGCAAAACAACCAGTGATGAAAACACTGCTAATACATCTAAAACACTGCTAACTGATTATATCATGCTTTTATTATTTCTCCACCATACTGAATGTTTTCTTCCCTTTTGAGGTGCCCGCGGTCTGCAGATGACGAGCGAAAGCACCCTGTCCTCTGTCTTTTCTGCGGAGCCATACTGTGTTCTCAGAACATTTGCTGCCAAGAAATTGTGAATGGGGAAGAGGTGGGAGCTTGCATTTTTCATGCCCTTCACTGTGGAGCTGGAGTCTGCATTTTCCTAAAGTAAGTAGGAAGCTTCATAATGAACTTAGGGAATCTGAATCCAGTCTGGAGGCCATCATGGCAGGACAGTATGTTGATAGGATATGATCTGTCAGAAGTTAGAGCATAGACCTGTTATTCACATGCAATTGCATTTGAAAAGATACTTAAGTATCTTCTCAAATGTAAATAATAGTTTAAAAAATATCAAGTAAGTAGTTTAAAAAATAAGGAGTTAAAAATTGGAATCTGTTCACATTTTCATTATTTGTGGAAAACCTTAAACAAATATGGTAGACTTGAAATGAAATTGAGTTATTTGTATTGAGGTGGATGGACCTATAGTCTGTCATACAGAGTGAAGTAAGTCATAAAAGAGAAAAACAAATACCATACGCTAACACATATATATGGAATCTTAAAAAAAAAAGGTTCTAATGAACCTAGGGGCAGGACAGGAATAAAGATGCAGATGTGGAGAATGGACTTGAGGACACAGGGAGGGGGAAGGGTAAGCTGGGATGAAGTGAGAGAGTAGCATTGACATATATACACTACCAAATGTGAAATAGATAGGTAGTGGGAAGCAGCCGCATAGCACAGGGAGATCAGCTTGGTGCTTTGTGACCACCTAGAGGGTTGGGATAGGGAGGGTAGGAGGGAGATGCAAGAGGGAGGGGATATGGGGATATATGTATACGTATAGCTGCTTCACTTTGTTATACAGCAGAAACTAACACAACATTGTAAAGCAATTATACTCCAATAAAGATGGTAAAAAAAAATGGAAACGTGAAATATGATAGGCTTTATATTGATTACTCTGGTATTGTGTAAAAATCAGGTATAGTGAAAGAGTTTAGAGTCCTAAAACTTGTATTTTCAAAGGACATGTACATTGTTACTTTATGTTGTCCTTTGAATGTTTTAATTTGCTTCACTTCCTCTACCAACCAACCATTGTTTTCCCTGGTGTCTTAGCAAATGACTGAGAACAGACCAATAGTCTCTCATATTTATGAAAGAAGAGTGCAAGTTTCCTGAGAGAGAGAAAAAAATCAAAGTGGATGCATGTGCTTTTTCTTTCCATTCTCCCCATGTAATTTAGTTTCTGTTTACATAAACCCAAACATCTCACTCATTAGGGAATATGTAATCACTGCCAATCAGCATCTGTTGGAACAAGGAGAATAAGTGTATGGAAGCAAAGCCCAAACGCCTATTTTCTTCTAGGGTACCTACAGCGATTAAACCCACTACCTATTCCAACTGTTTATTTTATAATTTCTCTCTAGAGTACTTATCTCTTATGTACATGAACATTATTTTTTATTTTTCCATTTCTCTGCTGTAAGAGTCCCAAGTACCTTCACGGTTACAGTGGTTCTTTATAATGTGCACTGTTGGAGGCTGGCTCTAACCAGAAAAGGCTTGACACTTCCATAGATGACCTTCTTTCTGGCCCAGGGTTATCAGACTAGGAGATGTGGTTCTATTCTTCTGTTAAGCTTCCTCCCCCGCTCCAGGTCATAGGTCAGGAAATAGAACAGAAAGAACCCCAGCCACCATCTTCCAGGGTACCTATGGTTCACATAGGACAGCCTCCTTCCTCTCTTCAGTATATTTAGTCAGTATTACTGACTGATCCCATTTGCCTAAGTCCATTGATCCTTTCTCATAGCTTCAACAAAAATAGCAATATTCATTCTCTTTTATTTAGACAAAACACGATTTAGTCTGTTTGTCTATATTGTCTTTATACTGAATTCTTAACAGATACCATGTCTTTTCTCTAGATTAACTTTGACACAGTGCCTGCCATTTGCATACATGTACTTAGTAATATTTCTGTTGGTTGTTTTGTCCCTTAGAATCAGAGAATGTAGAGTAGTCCTGGTTGAAGGTAAAGCCAGAGGCTGTGCCTATCCAGCCCCTTATTTGGATGAATATGGAGAAACAGACCCTGGCCTGAAGTAAGTTTTTAAAATTTTACTCACATTATTGTACATGGATGGTGGCAGCTCTTTAAACACAAAAGCTAATACTGAGAGATATTTTTAAATAGCTATAAATTGAAAATATTAAATATGATTCCATCCTAAATGTAACACATAATTTTCAACAAGTTTGTGCTTCTCCAAAATTTTTAGACCCCCGCCATCCTAATGTTTGAATGCTCTATTATTTTTAATCAACCTTTCTTCAGAATTACTTAGAAGGTTTAATTGACGCTGATGTATAAAAGAAAGAAATCTGTAGTATCCAGTGAGGAAGTTTGGTTTAAAATGGATATTCATTGTTTCCATTGCAATACTTGAAACTTTTTATTAGCCAGCTATGTCAGCCTTCTTTGCTTCTAAACATTAGCAAAAATGCTTAGAATCCTGTAATTTTCTGTATCGTTCACTGGTGTTAGGAACTGGAGTACCACTCATGGGTATGAGAAAAAGGAGGTAAGGCCACAATGGTCCCAAAAGTACATATAAAGATTAGATCCCCTTACCATAAGCTCTTTTTGTTTAACTAAAAGTTTGTTCTTTTGAAATTTTGGGTTAGCCAAAAAAGTTTATTCGGGATTTTTGTAACATCTTACGGAAAAATCCGAACGTTTTCATCATCCCAATATATGATTCAGAATGAATCGGCTTATTAGATGAGGCTTAGAACCTCTTTGTTCATACGGAGATTTGTTTTTATTGTAACAGCTTTTGACCTGTATAGAGAAAGTCTTTGGATTCAGGAAGAAAAAGGCGGGTGGTAAAAGTAGTTAATGATTGAGGATAAGAGGACTGTGTTGTTCCAGAAAGGTACAAAGAAGCAGAATTTTTAAGTTAGTTAGGCAATATGAAAATACCTAACCAGCTGAGACATGTTAGTGCCCCAGGGATGAGAGTCTCACAGTTCTCCATCATTGGCAACAGCCAAACTTCAGTCATTTTGGATTAGCTGTTATACAGTGTTACAAACGGTGCAACCTTAGAATTGGTGTGGAGTAATTTTATTTAAATACTTGCTAATCACCAGCAAGTTTGTTGTGTCATAAAGACAGTAATAACTGAGTATTTCTGAGGAGCAGCATATAATTTGAGGGCTTAGTGTTACACCTCAGACCTAACCTCTGCCATCCAAAGATGAGAAATCAAAGCTGGATAAACTATAAGAGGCCAGAAAGCCATTAAAGACCTACTCAGGCTAACCACTCTAAAAAGAATAGAACTGCTTCAAGTTATAAACCTTTCTAGCCATTTAAATGGGGTCCCATAATGCCCATGGTATACTTGACCTATTTTTCTGAATAATCAAGGAGTAAGTTTCTTCTTCATTAGCTAAGTAACTTATCAAGTTCATAGTGATCAGTGGTGAAGGGAAAATATACCTTTTAAAACCTTGTCCTGGTGATTCCTCCCAGTTCCAAGAACATCTCAAAAGTTCAGACTAATTTAAACAATAAAGATGTAGCAGTTATTTGATTCAAGCTTACATGTTTTTTTCTCCCCCTGAAGGAGGGGCAACCCCCTTCATTTATCTCGTGAGCGGTATCGGAAGCTCCATTTGGTGTGGCAGCAACACTGCATCATAGAAGAGATTGCTAGGAGCCAGGAAACTAATCAGATGTTATTCGGATTCAACTGGCAGTTACTGTGAGCTCCAACTCTGCCTGGGGAGAATCACGAATGAAGACAGTAATGAAGACTGATTCAAAATTATGGAGACCTTATTGAGGGCTGGGGAAGGGTTGGAGGGTCTTTTGCTCCATGTCCAGATTCACATACATCAATAAAATATTCCTTAATGGAATATTTCTTTCAATTAATGAACATATGCTTAAAGGAAAAAAAAAAACAGACATAGATTAATCTATTTTATGTTCCAGAACACTAAAGAAATGCTTCTTCACCCCAAGTGTCTGATTCTGCTAATAGTTCCAGAAAACTTATTTCCCTTCATAATCTGTCCCACTTCACTTCATCCACCTGATAAATGAAGTCACATCAAGCAGTTGTGGGCATTCTTATATGTTGGTTGACTCTTCTACAATTTGTATTTGGTGTTTCCCCCCCAAATTTAATTTAGCTAATGGATCACTGACAAGATTTAATAATCTGTGTTAGTCTTCCTTGCCGCTAAAGAGAAATTCAGAAACCATGCGGTGTACTTCAATTGAGAACGTTTTCCAAAAAGTAAAAATTTTATAACTTCTCTCTTAAGGAAATGCCCCTAAAGTGCCACTTACTGTTTCAGCCAGAAATTAAACTATATTTCTATATGGACAAAGTTTCCATTTCTAAGGCAAATTTCTGCCAGTGTGGAAAAGCTTTTTTTTCCTACTGTAGTCCTCAAGAAGAGTTAGGATAATGTATTTATTATTTATCCCTGATGAAACAAAGCCTGCAGTCCTCACCTCTGATGGTGAGGATTAGCTTTGTTGCGTTTTGAAATTATACTTTCCATTTTCCAAAGGCGAGTTTCTAAAATAAGTTCACTTATCTCTTGATTGTGACACGACTCTATTTGACTCAGAAACCTGATGCAGTTCTGATGTAAACTATCTATAGAATGAGGATAAGAAAATTCCCCCAATGAATGGATCATGGCAGCTGTAAATTAGAACAATCAGATTTAAGCCTGTTCTGTAACATTCTGTGTCTTTGTAAGACAGATCCTTCATTTGTTATCTGTGTGCAAACTTTTCATAAACTCTGGGTATATGAGTAGTATAACCAACAAAAAAAGCCATGTGGTCAGTAGTCTGTGTCCTGTTATAACATGCTGTGGTTGAGCCATCTTGTTTATAAGTAACAGAGCTCTCCTGCATCTGTGCATAGACTTCTTGGTTTTTGGCTTTAACTTTTTATATCAAGAACTTATGATATAAAACAGCAGGCAGAAGATAGATTGAAATCTTATATTTTAGCTTCTGTTGTCTCTGGGGTAATGTTAGGAGTTTGAAAGATACATTCAAAGACCGTCTTATTTTGCCTTTGGTGACCATGGTCATGTATGTGTATAAATGTTTTCCTACCTTCTTTTTGCTCAGCAAAAGCAAGCAAATAAAAATATATTTGCAAAGTGATTGATGATGCACATTTTGGGTTAGAGTTTTTTGGTATTTTTATGTAAAGTAAAGAAATTCTGGATTTTGCAATAAGGGATTGGCATGAACAGGCATCAGAATCACAATCATGATTTTCTACCTGAATAATTATTATTCAGAAGGTATCAGAAAATAGATACAACTCCAATAAACAGTTTCTAACTATTGATGGGTGAGGATTACAAATTTCAGTATTCAGTTTGTCAAATTTGCCAGTCTGATTAAATGATTATAACATTTCCTTTTATTTCTTATATAATTTTGTTGGGTGGATTGTCTGACTGGGAAGTCTGAGCCAGCCTAGGCAACAGAAGATGCTGACTTCTGCCCTAATTGATTGGTCCCAGTTTAGCAAAGATAAATTGATTTTTTATTTCTAACCTTTTTCTATCCACTTCATAAATTCTACGGTTAAGCTCTCAAGCTGCCAGAGGGACTGTCCTGCAATGGCCAGTCAGATCTTTACTGCCAAAGAACCCATTTCCTATTGAGTTCCATTTCCTGAGATTGATTCAGATCTCTGCACTGTAGATGAACATACATCTCTCAGTGCTGCCCCCAGCCCAAGGGATTTCTAATTATATTCAAATATCCTAGTTGTTTGCCTTCATCATTGGAAACAGTTTAATTAAGCATATGGAAGTTTACTTAAAAATGAGCAAAAAGTCACTTTATTTTCTTTAATGTAGTATGTGGAGGAACTGGTTCAACAGGATGGCTCCAAAACTGTGTTTTTGAATGTTTGGTGAGGGGCTAGCAGGAATTTTAATGATACAGTGAAGAAAAACGTATATCTGTATAATTAATTTATTATCGTGGTGTATGGGCTGAGTTCACCCTTTAGTGGTCATTTGTCATTTCATAACAACTATGCATTTTGGTTCACTGTGATGATGATCTATATTTAGTGACTGCCACATGTTTATACCACTGATTCAAATTCCATCCATGATGAAGTTATACAAATAATGCATATATTGATATCTTTTATTGCAAAATGTAAATTTAAAACTTGTATAATGTTCTGTGCTTTTTGAAATAAAATATCTTATATGTGTATATTTAAAAAGAAAAAAGGGACTTCTCATGTTTGGGGATTTGGGTTTGAAGTATAAAAAACTATACCTAGAAAGGAGCTATAGCTAAAAGTTGTCTTTGTCAGCCCAGACAAATTCTTTAAAAGACATAGGTATTTAGTGTAATGGTCTCCAAACATTTTGACCATACAGTCTATCAGTAAATAATTTTTAAGATGCATATTTTACATATATATGCATATGTTCAACTGTAAGAATTAAGATTAAAGATAGGGGGTGGGAATAAGCCAAAATCAGATAATTTTACATTATCAAAATAATGTAAAATTATTACAGCCAACAAAAGATGGGAGCAAAGGGATGAGTAGGTGGAAAGTTAAATAAGCTCACTGAGGGCTTCCCTGGTGGCGCAGGTGGTTGGGAGTCCTCCTGCCAATGCAGGGGACACGGGTTCGTGTCCCGGTCTGGGAGGATCCCACATGCCTCTGAGTGGCTGGGCCCGTGAGCCATGGCCGCTGAGCCTGTGCATCCGGAGCATTACATAGAAGTAAAAAGATAGCACTTGAAGCTGAGAAATCAAGAAATAAAAACTACACAAACTGACACTAGGATAAAACTAGCAGCTACATAGAAAGAAGGGGCAGTAAGAGGTAGTTTCAAAATTGCTTACATATTAGGGAAGCAACAGAGAATTTAAAGAAGGAGTACTGAGAATATTATATAAAATCAGTATAAAGTTTACAAGTAGAACACGCAATATCAAAAGGGGGGGAGGCAAAGAAAATAAACTACATAGTGAAACAATATAACAAAATTCAGACCAATCAACAAACGTAGATGGGCTTAACTCACCTACTTTTTAAATAATCAGCTGAGTTAACAAATAGATTCAGATGAAAATTAAAGAAATGAACCTAATTTAAAAATGGGGGCTTCCCTGGTGGCGCAATGGTTAAGACTCCGCCTGCCAATGCAGGAGACACAGGTTCGAGCCCTGGTCTGGGAAGATCCCGCATGCTGTGGAGCAGCTAAGCCTGTGCACCACAACTACTGAGCCTACGTGCCACAACTACTGAAGCCCACACACCTAGAACACTTGCTCCACAACAAGAGAAGCCATTGCAATGAGAGGCCCACACACTGCAACAAAGAGTAGCCCCCGCTTGCCTTAACTAGAGAAATCAGGCACACAGCAATGAAGACCCAATGCAGTCAAAAATAAATAAATAAATAAATTTGAAAATGGGCAAAAGATTTGAACAGATTTTTCTCCAAAGAAGATGTACAAATTACCAGTAAGTATATGAAAAGATGTGCATTAGTCATTAGGGAAACACAAAACCACAATGAGATACCACTTCATACCCACAAGAATGGCTATTTTCAAAAAGACAGATAGTGTGTTGGTGAGGATGTGAAGAAATTGGGACCAAATACAGGCAGTCCTCACTTTGTACAGTAGTCAATTATTGCATATATGTCCACGCAAGCTGAAACCATACAGAGCAATCTTAGTATCAATGGGAAAGATACCATTGGGTATTCCCTGGTGGTGCAGTGGTTAAGAATCTGCCTGCCAATGCGGGGGACATGGGTTTGAGCCCTGGTCCAGGAGGATGCCACATGTCGCGGAGCAACTAAGCCCGCATGCCACAACTACTGAAACCCATGCACGTAGCGCCCAGTGCTCCACAACAAGAGAAGCCACTGCAATGAGAAGCCCATGCACTGCGACGAAGAGTAGCCCCCGCTCCCCACAACTAGAGAAAGCCGGCATGCAGCAACAAAGACCCAAAGCAGTGATAAATAAAATTTAAAAAAAGATACAGTTGTTCCATGGCCTTTAAAAATTTTGCTCAAAACAAACTCTTACTGTCAGTTATAAATGTATTGGGAAATGAAAATAGTAAAACATTTATGTAGTACAGTGTAATTTATAAAAAGATTGAAAATTCAAGTTTTTTTTTTTCAAAAACATCTAGAAAATAACGTCAAGCATGTCTGCCTCTCTGTATAACTTATACAGAGTGAGCATCTTTTCTGTGCCTTGGCAAATTGTCATATTTCTAAGTTTGGAGCAGCTTCCAAAATTTTACCCTTTGTGTTCCACAGTTGTGAAATACTTCCAAGAGTTCCTTTAGTGTGAAGATTTTTGGCAGTGTCATTCCTTCTGGGACATTCATCTTAACCACTTTTTTTTTTTCTTTTTTGAAATTTGCCTTCACTAGCTTCCTCTGACATGCATTCTCTCAAATATCAGTGGTGTCAACAATTCCATAGTTAACTACTACTCCTATAACTCCAGTATAACTTGTATAACATCTAGATTTTACCCAAATTTCACTTCCAGCATTATCACTTTAGTTCCTTTGCTGTATTAAAAAAAATTTTTTTTTTTACTTATTTTTTATTTACTTATATATATATTTTTGGGCTGTGTTGAGTCTTCATTGCTGCGCACAGCCTTTCTCAAATTGTGGCAAGCGGGGGCTGCTCTTCATGGTGGTGCATGGGCTTCTCATTGTGGTGCCTTCTCGTTGTGGAGCACAGGCTCTAGGCACTCGGGCTTCAGTAGTTGTGGCACACAGGCTCAGTAGTTGTGGCTCGTGGGCTCTAGAGCACAGGCTGAGTAGTTGTGGCACACGGGCTTAGTTGCTCCGCGGCATGTGGGATCTTCCCGGACCAGGGCTTGAACCCATGGGCCCTGCATTGGCAAGCGGATTCTTAACCACTGCGCCACCAGGGAAGCCCTTTGCTGCATTTTTATCTTTGTTGGCCATTCCCTCTTTTGATTATCCATTTTTGTAAAATGTCACATGGGTTTATCACTGGGAGACAAGGAGACAGCATGACTACACGCTTTGCTCTCCGACCCGAACTGAGCAACAGATGTGCAATGTCCAATCACCAACAGATTCTGGGGAATTCTCTGGCGGTCCAGTGGTTAGGATTGTGTGTTTTCACTGCTGAAGATGCTGGTTCGATCCCTGGTCAAGGAACTAAGATCCCACAAGCCACTTGGCGTGGCCAAAAGAAACAAAAGCAAAAAAAACAAAGACCAACAGACTCTGAAAGAAGTTACATAATTGGTCACTGATCATGACACACATCTGTTATTTAGTGATTTGTGGACTGAAGAGCTAGCCACGTAGTTTGCACTTTATGAAATTACTCACAGTTAATATACCATCATAAGTGAAATTTGAACCGTGTTGTTGAGGACCAATGTTAATTAATTAAAACATG